GACAAAGATGGTGATCTGTGAGTTCGCCTTAGATGTGATTGGAAAAAAGGCATTCAAAATGGCAGAAAGGGCAATCGCCGCGCCAAACAATCTGAAAAGGGCAGAAAAATATATATCAACGATTCCACGCGAATTTCAAAATAAAATGTTCAATAATTTGAACATATTCGACAGAGTCTTGCAAATGTGATTAGAGACAGTAAGAGTATCGTCTTATTCGCACCTTTGAGCGATTTTACAGTATTTGATAATATTCGAGGTGTTCAACAAAGTAAAACTTACTTGCTTGCTGGATACTTCGAAGCTATCAAACCACCTGGAATCTGAGTGACCATGTAGCCGTAGAAAAAAGCACTTTCCACGTTTCCTATCGTATTCCTGTCCCAATCTATTTCTCCTTTCTACAAAAGAGAAATTCAGCGAATCATCAGGTTTAATGTAGTTTTCGAAATGACCAGTGAATCCAATTCAGGAGTCATCGTTTTCACGAGCATTCATTCTTCCGATTCATGATGATGCACTTTCAAAATATGTACGTATCTATTTTGAAATTGAAAAAACAGTGATTTGATTTTGCTTACCTTTCCATCTTTGCCTTTGGTCATCCGAACGATCGCGATTCCGATGTTGCTTCGAATTCCGAAGGATATCAAAAAACCTGACAAAAAATATCGCATCAAATGAATCTATAAGGGGGAATTGCAAAGTGAATTACAGTATTTAAGATACGTTTTTCTCAAATAAAATAGAGGATGTTTATTGATTATTAAGGAAGAATTTCTCACCTATCATGACGAGAATCGCCATGGTGTAGCGTTTGGTGATGCTGCAACAAGGACATTCTGGTTGTATATAATGATCTATTTTCCTCAGAGGCACTTCTTCTCTTTCTGGTAGTAATGCATCTAGTCGGTCCTCTCTGGCAATAGGTAGAATTGATCACACACAAATTATTCAAATTATAAACGGAGATTGCGATTTTGTTTTGCAAATCAGCATCGAAAGAAGAAACTTACCGAAACCCTTGCTCAGCAGTCGGCAGCTCGAACTCCTCGTAGTTCGCCTTGTTCTCAACAAATTATTCAAATTATAAACGGAGATTGCGATTTTGTTTTGCAAATCAGCATCGAAAGAAGAAACTTACCGAAACCCTTGCTCAGCAGTCGGCAGCTCGAACTCCTCGTAGTTCGCCTTGTTCTCGCTGCAAATAAACATGACATTTATGATGATATCAAAGATCCCTTTGCAACATTTTCTTGACAGCAACTCGGAAATATATCACACAACTATCGTCAAATGGCAGCGAAAAAAAAATCCAACCTACCACAGACTCACTATTTCTTTTGAACGGCCGAAAACTTTTTCGGGAGATTATATGCGGAACAAGTGAAGGACAACATACTGTATTTGAAGAATTTTTCTTGGCGAACATCAGAAATTCTTTATGGAACTGATTTGAACGAAGAGAATATTTTGGGCGGGGTATCATTTGAACGAAAATATAAACTTTTCCAGTTTCATTTCGACGAGGGAAGACTCAATTTCATCTACTTTGTCTGATGGAAGCTGCTTTCCGTTGCCAAAATTTCGCTCCCATGGGAAATCAAGGAAGTATTATCCCCATTGAGACACATTTCCAATCTCTTGCGTCTTTGGAAGGATAGTTTAAAATATTTAGGACAGATTTTGATGCTTCAATACAGTATTCAAAAAAATAGAATGATAAAATCTGAAGGTAGGACCATACCAAAGTTATATTAAATTTGCTTTCGAATCACCGTTTTAATCTGCCATATTTCGATTGATATAATAATTTGATTGCATCTTTAAAAAAACTGCCGAAGAACAGGACTTTGCCCGTGTTGAGCATAGAATATCGAAGAGTTGAACGGTTTGATAAATTTAATTAGCTAAAGCCAACTCGGTAAGCTTTAAATAAGTGACATAAATTTAATATAATATTTATGTACTAAATTTAACGGCTTTCATGTGTATTCCTTATTACATTCCTTTAAAAAAAATCGACCGACAGAAGTTCTTGCTTCAATTCAAGAAAGTTAGACAACAACAAAAAACAGGAGAGAAACAGACTTTATTCCTGGACTTTTCTCGAGATCAACAAAGCAAATAACCTTGAATACATTTTAGCAGTTATGAAAGGCTTCCTGTTTGAAGCCAATTGGTCGATTTTCACGCTCTATATATCATTCGTACAAGATTGTCTCCTTAAATCCCTGCCTTCGCGACGCAATTGATCCACGCGCGGTTTTACCGGCAGTTGAGATAAAAGTCAAATCAGCGCGATTCACTTCGATGCTGTTGTTGATGTTTCCGTATCCAATCGAGGCTAATCTGGATGTTTTGCGACGTGAGAAGGGCGATCTGGCACAGTATTTTGAAGCAGGAATGACTACATGAATGCGAAGCAAGGATTGGGAGGTTCCTGCAGGTGCACGGGGTTTTCTCCTTCCTCGAGGGAATTCCTTCGGGATCTCTGCTGCCCGCCCTTCCGACGGGAGGAGTGCCCCCGAGTTGCCCACGCCCACCGGTTCCGTGCAACAACCATTGGCACTCACTCGCACACACCTCCTCCGGGCGTGTTTTCTCTTCCGTTGAAACAAGGGACTGCATTTTTGAAACGCTGCATTTAACTTAATTGAAGTTCGAGTATTTGAAAAAACACAATCTATACTGTGTAAGACGTACTGTGTATCATAGAATAGACGACTACTTGTTACCGACGGATATAAGAGGCACTTGTATTTACATTTGATATATGCAGTGAGACCCCCACATGCGGACACCTTGACATGGGGACACTTATTTTTCAATTAAAAAAATAATATAAAAGGCCCAACATAGGGACACTGGCTTGACATGAGGACATTGCATGATCAAATTGCCAATAATTTTTAAGAAAATTGACTTTTATTGGGCTTAATTGCAAGAAACAGATATTTCCAACCTTGAGATCTATGTCAGAAAAATTCTTTGGTGCTTTTCCCATCACTTTCCCACCCATTCAGCTAATTAAAAAAAATTACCTGTAGCACAGAGGGACTTCCTTCTCTTTTTGTGACTTGCATGCTATTTTTACAGAAGCCAACATTTCAATGAACTGTACAATGGTATACTATTAAATGCTCCAAATGTTCTTATTGGGTTGAAAAGATATTCACTGAATCAAGTTCAAGTGGCAAACAAATTTTTGTTGATGGATTTCTGAAGAATATTTTTCCATAAAACACCAATTAAAAATTACATAATGTAAGTCTATGGGAACACAAGACTCAACTTAACAAAAATTCAACTTAGGGACACTCTTGATGCACCAATTATGTCTGCATCTGGGGGTCTCACTGTATACTTCCACTTTCAAAATTAAAGGAGTCTGTTTATCTTGATTCTTTCTACACTGTTATTGATTGATTTGGTTACCTGAGTAATTTCCGCAAGCGCTTCCAGAAGAATACCGATTTTTTCAATCAACGATGTACTTATTTAGTGATATTTTTTAACGCAAACTTTGATACGTTTATCAGCAACGATCTTGGACGTATACCCTGAGAAATTTAAGACTCTACCAAGTGTGCGAGACACCATTTACTTTTTAAGGAGCCCTGATTTTTGGAGTCCAATTTTTTTTTTAAAGATGCGTGTCTTTTGCTTTTGTTTTAATGTAATAACTGCTGTTTCTGTTGATCCGGAATTTGTACATATTTCATATGATTGGCTAACATGTTTCGTTCAAGCGGGAAGATTTTCCTCTTCTTAACAAACAATATGAAATCTTTTGGCACTACTTCGATTGCTGTGTTGCGTGTTGTGCGCTTTTATTTTCCTTGATTATTTTCTTCATATTTTCTCAGCACGGTAGAATTAGGATACAATTTTTGGCTCATTAAAACTTTCATTATGACAAACGTTTAAATTTCCCGTAGCTTTTTTGTTGTTCCAAAAGTCAGCCTCCTTTTTTAACTTTATGGGCGACAGGCACATTTTGAAAATACTGCAATTCTTTTTGGAAATGTCCTGATGGTCTGGAAATGCTCTAAGCGTCAAGTTAGGTCAGGTGGCCAATTTTTATAAAAGCTTCATAAACTTTTCTAATCTGGTGAAGCTAGCAATGATTTCAGAAGGTGGTGCCAAAAAAAGATGCAGGATTGCAACATTGCACCTTGATTCAATTTGAATGAAATGAAAGTTAAACGCAGTCGAAAAGGCAGTCAATTTTCTTCATTTTCTCACTACATTTTCTGAAGTAGTTCAGTAAAACCTTACTTTCTCTGCAGCTCAGCCTGTTCAATTTCCAACTTCAGCCAAGTCGAAATCGTCAAAATCATTGTGAATCGTGATTTTGTGCTTCGCGTATTTTAGCGCTTGTGTACTACAGTATTTCAATTGTCTGATCTTAGATGAAATACACTAACATTTTGCTTAGTGAAGACCAGGTCTCCCTTCCACGACTTAAGGGAATAAATATAATCTTGTGTTTTAATCCTATCAAATTTGATTTCTTCTGAGCAAATTAACCATTCTGTGGCAGAGTCGGGATACTTTTGTAAAATTCAGTGCCCAAAAAACAATTTTTTTTTAATCCCGGACTAATCGACGTACTTTTATTTGAAGTCCAGGAAAAGTGCTATTTTTCTCACTATAGCTTAGGCTCCTTAGAGAAATGTAGCTGGAATTTTAAAACTCATCATCCGGTGACATTTTTTTGCATTCCTAGCTCATCAGGATCCATTTAAATGAATTTAGAAAAGAATATCCTACAATCCTTTTGACAAATCTCAGACTGTTACTAAATTTTGTAACCAAGGCTATATGTTTTTTTTTTACCTTCAGGAAAACCAAAATACGCCTACTTGCAAAAAAAAAAACCCTGAATCAGCCTCAAGATGGAAAAGGACCTGCCGCTGTCTAGTGTCTGAAGGATAAGGGATCTGGAACTTATCGATCAACCGAAGTATACTGTTGCTTTACAAACTTTGCCAAAAGCCTCTCAGCACTGGAAAACGACAAGTTCATCAATTGGGAATGTCATTGCTGAAAATTGGGCAGAAGAAAAGAAAGTTTCTGTACACCCATCACTCCTGAAAGTCCTGATGAAAATCGCTCGTTGATGGTGCAAAAAAAAAGCCACGTTTAATCGCCAAGCAAATCGGATGTACATCAGAATCCCGCAGCAATCGATTCAAATCTTCTTCTTTTTTCTTCAAACGTAAGAACTCGAGAATGTCAAATACAGTACTATACGTCGTATCCTCTTAAAAAATCCCGTCCCCCGAACTGTATCCATAATTTCCGCCCAGCAAGTGGCCAGCACCGGAAACAAAGACAATCAGTCTTCCACCTACTACTGTATCCCCCTTGTGTCACTCAACACAGCCCTCGTCCGCCCAGAAACAAGCCCATACACAAGCCGGGAGTATAACACCCCGAAAGCTCAGCAAAAGCACCCGCCTAAGAAAATGCTTTTCCACCCCCAACAAGCGCACCCCTACTGTTATTTTTTTTTTTTTTTTTTTTTTTTGTACAGGCCAGGATCATGCATATCCCCTGCTGCTTTTGCAAGGGGGGGAGGATGGCACACAGTCATAAAGCACGGGATGTTGGGAAAATCCTCTCCATTAACTCTATAGGCCCGGGATGTTGAGACGACAGATCCATTGCAGTTCATAGGATGAAAGGCTGCTCGAACCAAAAGCGAGGAAAAGATAAAAAAAAATGAGGGGATTGAAGACCCCTTTTAAAGGAGGATTGAGACAATCGATCAACAATATGTCATGTTATCGGTGGAAATTGTATAACAATTCCCCAATATACATTGCGAGAATATTCGCCATCAAGCGAATATTGCTATTTGGTGTTATTCCTAACACTGGGAAGAAATAATATATTAATATATATTAGATATTAATATTCTTCCATCCCTTCCCTGTCCTTCCCAAGAACACGTGGACTGACAGACAAATCTGACAGACACGTGTGCTGACCCCTGATGACGCGCGCAT